CTTTAGTCATCATGAGTTTGTGTAAAAAAATTGAGACGGAAAAATAATTAAGGCAGTCATATAAACACAAAATAAAATATGCATAAGAGACAATATTTAAAGTGATTCGATCTTGTTTATCGTTACATGTGAGATGAATAATAATCATTTATAAATGTAAAAAACATGAAGAGGAAAAATATATTATATCGCATGCATCTTAAAATCCGATGTAATTATCAAAACCTAATATATCTCAAAACACTATTCCTACATGTCTACAAAACTATCTCTACAACATAAATCTCAAAAGTTGAAGAGATCTTAAGAAAAATTACATCTCTCCAAAATAATATTCTCTTTCATAACCCTGAAAGCTAAGACATAATCTCTATTTATAGAGTCAAATACTTGATCACTTCGATAAGAATTTTTGCCTAAAATAATTATTTACTTTATTAAATAAAGTCAATTACTAAGAAATCTTTAACTACTAGAATTACAATAAAATCCAACTTAATTACAAATTATAATTTGGGGCAAAATATAACAAATCTTCCTCTTGACCCAAATTTTATCAAAAATGGTCTTCAACTCTTCAACAACTTCAATATTTACGTAAGCCGCATATTCGTTGAAGCACCGTTGTCAAGTATTCAACAACTTCAATTATCCATTGAAGTATCGTTAGATCAATCGAAAATTACTTTTTTGTACCTGAAAACTCATTACAATAAATTCATCTTACATGTCTTCAAAATCATTAATAAAATCTACAACAACAAATTCTTTCAAAACTCTACATCTCGAACCATAGCTCTGATATCACTTTGTTAGAAGATAATGACATGTATAATGATCACTCAATAAAATAGACACTAAGATTTTACGTTATTCGGCCTTGCCTACCTTCACAGGCGAGATAAACAATAACCCATTATAAGTGTAGAGAATACAAAGAGTTCAAATAAATGATATCACATATACTAAAACAATATAGATACTAAAATCCGGTTTATCTCAAAACACTCTTCCAACATCCTTATAAAACTATCTCTATAACATAAATCACAAAAGTTACAGATGTCCCAAAAAAGATTACATTTATCCAAAATAATTTTCTCTCAAATAACCCGAAAAGCTAAGACATATATCTATTTATAGAACCAAATATTTAGTCACTATAAGAATTCTTGTATAAATAAATATTTACTTTATTAAATAAAATCAATTACCAAAAAATTTTCAACAGTTAAAATTATAATAAAATCTAACTTAATTACCAATTATAATTTAGGTCAAAATATAATAATTTGGATTAAATAAAAAAGCTCACTCTAAAAGAGGAAGAGGGAGAAAGAAACTAGAAAAGGAGAGAGAGAGAGATTGTGTTTCCTCAATTTGTCTTACGAGAGCTATAATATATATTTTGAATATCTGATAATCACGTGACTATTTATACATGAGAGTAAATATATTATTTAGAGAGCTAAGTTTAAGTCATCACAAAACCACTATGTATTATTCGTGTGGTCCATCGAGCCGTTCAGGTTATTAGATATTAACCCAATATATTTTCGTCATCACAACAACTACTATTCATTTTTAGGTTTAGCCCTCTAAGTTTTTTAAATTTCATAATTTGACACTTTAAGTTAGCTTTAATTAACCCACTTAGTATAACTAGGTTTAATGAATTATTTAATTGTATTTTGATTTTAAAAAATAAGGCAATGTTTATTTATTAGGAGGTTAATAGTGTATCTCTCGCATAAATGCCCGGAGGTGACCACTGTTAATTTCCGAAGTAAATCAACATCATTTTCCAAAACTCTGCATCATGATTTCTAAATCCTCGAGGCAATGTTTGTTTATTGGGATCGATAACGAAGCTTCCGCTAGTGCTCGGAGTGGTCGTTATTGGTTTTGGTAAATCGACCTCCTCTTCAAATTTTACATACATATTGGATTTTAAATTAAATAAGACATCGAACTCAAATTTTCTAATTTTAAAATGTAGGATAATCGACTAGGTACTAATTTTTGGGCGTTGTGGGGTGTTAATCCTTCCCCATGTATAACTGATTCCCGAACCAGGTTTCTAATTTTCGCAGACCAAAACTTGATATTTTTTTTATAAAATGAAATGTTTTATTAAAATTACATGGTTTTAGGTGTTCCAATCGCACCTTAAAATGGTTGGTGGCAACTCCCATCTTTTCATCAAAAACCTTTTCAAAAAACCTCATCGTCGTAACTAGTCGGCTTTCCCCCCGAAGGACCGGTTGCGGCAGTTATGAACTATAATATTCACCATCCAATCAGTATGAAATCAATATATACAACTTGTTTCCTCCTTCTCAATCTCCCCACTGTTGGGATTTGAAAGAAGATGATTCATCATTGAGAAACCATTTGGAATTTGAAACTAAGAATTTTTTTGGGAAAAAATAATTTTTTGGGGTCATTTCATAATTTTTAAAAGAAAAATATTCATTCATAATTTCGTTAATTATTCAAACATGGAGTGACCAAAATAGAAGCGAATTAAAACTTCAATTTAAAATTTTTATACTATAGTGACTAAAATAGGATTGAAAAATAAAGTTGAGTATTGCATTTCTAATTTACTCCAAATAAAATAACAAATTTAAAAGGTGTTTGAATACTAAAATAAATTCCTTTTCCCCAACTTCTTGATTTTATTCATTATTTCTATTGGGCAGGGATGAACTTACGTTCTAGCTGTAGGGACGGAAGCATGATTTTATGTTAGGGGCAAATTCGAACTATTAAAATTTTAGGGTAGGGGGAGAAAATAAAATTTTAATAGAAAATATATAATAATTTTAAATTTTTAAGGGGACGACTACCTCTCGGTCCATCTCTGGTTCCAGGTGAAAAAGACAATTGCCCCCAAACTTTGAAATTTGATGGTTTAATTATTTTTTGGCCATCAATATATATTTTTTTTAAATCATTACAAATTAAGCCTTTGCCCATTGCAAAATTTAATTATTTGATAATGAATGCTCAAATATTCATACATACATAATGCTCTAACTCAAGACCCCTAAGAATAACAATCGTACCTTTAATCACTAAGGTCGTTTGATTCGTGCTATTTAATTAACTTATATAATAATAAAGGGAGTAAGTAATAGAATTTGTAACGTTTCTCAAGATGAGATTTCATATGGATCTTGGTTATCAATAGCTTTCTCTTTATTTATCAGCATCGTTGACTTATCAGACATCTCTCTTCTTGCTCAATTCTCTGTAGAGGTGTTGGGTGGTTCTCCTTCAATCTTTTATAGAGTACTTTTATTAATCCTTTTTCGAGTTCTAATACGAAATCGATCATCTGTGATTGATCTTTTTTGGTTGGAAAAAATCGATTGATATTCACCGCACCAAAGTAGAGATCACAATATTAAGGGAAGGTATTAATTATACTTCATCCATTTTTATTTAAATAGAGAGTTACGAGCTGTGGCTGATGCACTCATGGCTGAGGGTAGGCACTAAAATATGGATTTTCTTCGATTAATTCACCTTGAAATTTTATTGTACCCGTCCTGAAATCTGAATTTTCTTCTATTAGTGGCCCGTTTTATTAATGGTTTTCACCATGAAATTTTATTTATGCTTACATCATTAAAAAATTTTATACCGTTAATATATATGTGCCCGCCCTCATTCAAAAAATTTATATCTATTAACATATATGTGCCCACCCTAAAAAAAAATTTCTGGATCCGCCGTTGGTTACGAGATAAGGTGGTTATTGGAGTTTAAGATGGTCAAATTTAAGAAGAAGAGAAATCATGGAGAAGAGAAAGAAATAGAGAGTAAAGAAGTCCATGTATCTATCTTCTCTATTCCTTGAGAAGACCCTTATACACTTGGTGTTCTTGGTAACATACATCTTTAGTAAATTGATGGACTGTAGAAATTAACATTTACACATAAAAAGATAATTGAATCATGTGTCCCCAAACTATAACCTTTATTTTAAATCAGTATTTAAATTTTTTACATTTTAATTTCATCCCTAAACTATGATCTTCTTTTTAAATTAGTCTCTGAACTTTTGAATATTCAAATTTCAATCCCAAATATGTAACTAGTTTCAACCATAAGTTAACCTAAATTTTATTTTTTTCAAACATATAATAATATAACTTGACCTAATGGTTTAAATAACAATGGGTGTGATTAGTATATACATTATAATTTGGGATGAAATTAGAATGTTCAAAAAGTTTGGAGACCAATTCAAAATGAAGGTCGTGGTTTGGAGATGAAATTGAAATATTTAAAGGTTTGAGGACTAATTTAAAATCATAGTTTAGGGATGAAATTAAAATATTTAAAAGTTTATGTGCCAATTTAAAATGAGGGTCGTACTTTAAGAACATGGGATACATTTAACTAACAGATAAATTATACATTTCCACATTTGGATACCAAACTCAATTATGTAAATTTCTAGCTAAGTGCAAATAATGATGACAACAGGTCGGGTTTTTGGTCAACTCTACTTAATCCAAAAATTTTATATCCTTCACCCGAATCTAACTTGAAAAATATATACCCTCCACCAGAGTCTTCCCAACCCAAAATTTTATAATATAAAATCCAACCCGATCCGACCCTATATAAAATAAAGACTTAATTTTTAAAAAATAATAAAAATTTCAGAAAATTACATTATTATTCTCGGGTGGGTCGGAGTTTTTTTCACTATCCACATGAACCCAACCCGACTCCATCCCTTAAAAATTCCAACCAATCTGATTTTTTTTAAAAACCGACCTATCGAATCGAATCGGCTCAGAACCCGTCGGATTCGAGTTAAATTGATCTTTTAAGTGCAAACGCCAAACTCAATTATGTAACTTTCTAGTTAAGTTTGCTCTCCAATTCTTTATTTCTTTTAAAGTATTCGTATTCTACATTAATATCCGAATTTTTAAGGATACATTAAAAACATACCTGTATCCGTTACTTGTGTTCAAGTCCAATTAACAATTTCTATACATAGTGAAAGAAGGACCGATAAGGATTTAGAATTAGGATATAGGTTTTTGTCTCATCCATTTCGTTGCCGACCATTTCTCACCGGACAAAACAGCGCATCCTCCGTGTAGGCTACCCGGATCGGACTGCCCGTCGAGTCCCTAACCAAAGCAAGCAATGCAAACAACAAAGATCACCAAAGCAGAGAAATCTTGCTGAATCAATTCAAACTTAAGGTATCCTATAAGATGCCCTTTTTAGTAAGAGATATGGCATAGGTACGAAAAGTAAAACTGGCAAGAATGTCTTCCGTATTCCGGTTCGATTATCGAATGTATATGACCCCCAAGATATCAAGAATTGAAACCACATAACTAGTTAAGCTGTTTCAAGAGCTGAAATGTGAATTGCTGATGGTGATTAAAAACGTCAAGCAGTGATTAGAAATTGGACAGGAGTAGTTTGTTCAACCGGTTGAACCAAAAACAGGTAGGTCCAGCAGTACAGGCAGCCATGTAAGCTGGCAATTTAAATATATCGAAAAGAAGGAAACAAACCATGCTCCAGAAAAGTATTGCATCTCCTTTGATCGGTTTTATCGACAACCCTTTAACAATCTTCCCTCCACAGCTACAAACTCCCGTACCGGCCTGAGAACAGATAACACAGTAAAAAACCGTAGGAAAAAAAAATTGTGTGATACTCATGTGACATGAATATGGGATATGGATACAAGAAAAACAATGGAAAAATCTAACTATACCATGTCAAACAAATATACGTATTTGACACTCGAATCTGAATCACACCGATAATGTCTGATGTTTGTCAAAGAAAGACTAACCAGGAAGAAACATTCAATGAATTCAAACTAGAGGATTCAGGAGAAGATCATACTTAAATATTGACCGACTGGAAATCTAAAATATCAAAAACCAGCCTTGCTATGCAATGGAAAGTAGAAAGTTCATTGTATAAATGTCGAAAAATCAAGAAAGTAGCTTAGTACAACTCTTCATTTTTTAAATATCCGTGTTTAAAACACTTCTGTTAAATGGATATTGGATATGAGTATGGGGATATAAACCTTCAAGAGCACTCAAAGAAAAAGAAACTTGAAAAAATGAATATTCATTTTTACACCGAAATTTGAGCAAGCGATTAACAGAAGTTCACATCAAATTCATGGTCATGTTATTTTAGGAAAGGAATTACCTGAGGGAAATATGTTTCTCCTCCTTCAACATCATCACTAAGATACATGAGCATAGTTGCTATTCGTTGACCACGCTTCACATTAAACTACATTAGTGGCAAAGAAATGGATCAAGATTCCTCCATGTCATAAGAATAGATATAAAACCAACCTCAACCAATAGATAGACTACGTTTATAGATGTAATCAAGCCAGGTCAAGCGCAAGCTCAAGCTATAAGAAACTTTAATTCAAGTTTGACTTGAAATTAGAGGCTCGGAGTTGGACTTGAGCTCAATTTCAGATAAATGCTGAAATACTTGAGTTAACTCGATTAAACTCATTTAACTTAAAAGTTTTTTTTTGTCCAAGTTCGATTATTTGTGCTCAAACTCGACGAATTTCCAATACAGATTAAAAATAAAAAGGCTCGATTAGACTCACAAGCAGAGAGTTAAGCATTAGGATATCTGAACTTAACTCCACAATGGTCAAACCAAATTCAAGCATTTTCCAAGATGAACCAAAGTAACTTACAAGAAAAAATGTCTCTTATACCCCTAAATATGTCTTGAAAAAGAATCATATAACTTACAGGATCAGAAAAGTAATCATGATGGGGCTTGTAAAACTGATCTTTTTCATACCTGTGCTGCATTGGATATTATTCAGTGTTCTTGCTTTTCAGCAATATTTTTACAAGAAAATTAAGTTAGACAACCCACCTTAAAACTTGTATATGCTCCCCATTTTCAACTGGTATTTGAGAAAAGACTGAAATCCGTTTTTCAATTGCCTCGAGTTTAACAGAAACAAGAAAAAGGAGGAAAAGACTTAATCACAATTTATTAAGAAATTGGAAAAGATAGATATAAACTTTTATCAAAAAAAAAAAGGTAGATATAAACATCACTTTTAAATGTTAGGAAAGGAACTTATCATGCAAATCGAAATTATAGTACTTTGACTCTTCATTTTTCTAGAAGTACTAATTTCTAACCTGTACTATTGGATATGATTTCTCACTTGGCTTCAAGAACATTCCAGAGCTTGTCCTTACCTTACTCTTAACTCCCTGAAAAACAAGGGCTTAGATGTACGATCAATTCTTGCTTTTAAAGTTAAGTTATCAAAACTAAGAGTAGATCTAACAATTTATGTATATGCTTCTTGTTCGTGTATTTTATCATATCACAACTGAGTACTAAAATAAATTATTGCCTTCGTTGATATGCTCTCAACAGAAAATCTCTAGTCACTGAATTCCAAGTGAACTTCAAAAAAATAGAATACTTTACACAAAAAATAGGTACGTACATGTATTCAACACTTAGATGGGACTCTTTAATTATTTTTTTTAAGTATCTGCGTCCAGCACTCATATCCAACAGTTTTTGCATAAAAGGATATGACCCTCAAATATAATAAACTTAGAAGAAAAAAGTGCCCACATCAAACATATGCTTTTTATTCAACACTCAAATTCGAGTTCAAGTAATATAATGAGACACTGCAAATTTGAGGAAAGAAAAAGAAGTTAGATATACCTTCCCAGTTTTTGCATCCACCACAGTAGAAACTTGAAGCCGAGGGAGAGCAACAGCTCTAAGGTAGTCACATTCCTGCAGTTATCATAATAGGATAATTTAAACTCTATTTGTGCAGAGTTAGCAAAATAATTCAAGCCTACTGGGTTTCAATCTGATCCAACTCAACTCCATATACTGTTATTTTATGTTCTTCGAAAAACGAGTTTGAGACGGGCAATTTATCGATTAAGAATTCTAAGACTTGAGGTCAATTTTGATCAAATCTGACCTGTCTTGAAATATTTTGGTTAAGATTTCATAAAATTGTATTAGATTTTAATATATTTATTTGACTACTTTTTATATTTTAATTAGATTTTTTTTTATAAAATTAATGTAATATAGAGTATCATGTAAGTTAAAGGGATAAGGGAGGAGGAGTTGAGGAGTTTTTTCTTTTCCTAAATAAAATTAAATTCCTACAGGATACATAAAAGTGAAATTGACATCAATATGAGCAGAAAACCCGGCCACTTGCTATTTCCATCCCTACCCTAGAGGATTAGTGTCCAGCTTACAAATATATTTTTTTCATTATTTAATTCCACCCAATTTATTACAAACTTGAATCTTAAAACTTCCAAAAGCTCTAATCACATAACTGTCTTATATCACCTAGTTATTGAATGAATCAGAATTTACAATGTGATGATTTCTAGTAAATCACCATTATTTTTCAATCATTGATAACTCGGACTCAGAGATCTGTGTGTCAAATACAAGTATATGTCTAACACGAATATGATCAAATTTCTTTAAGTTTTCAATATAATGAAGGATCCTTGAAAATTATATTTCCATACTCATATGTCAGGCATGAACATCGAACACAAAAAACTTCAAAAAATTATAAAAATAAATAAAAATAAAAACATGTACCTCGTAGCTAAGGAAATTATGAAGTACAATAATACGAGGAGACCAGCTTATTATTTCAGGTTTGACCTACATAATCAGAAGAAGAAGTCAAACTTCTTGTTTTCCATAATAAAAACTAAATGGTCTAAGAAGAATCATTTTCTGGATTAATTTCACACAACATAAAACCATATAAACCAATCTCTCTCTTCACCAAGTAATCAAATTTAATTGAGCAACCTCAAATTTTAAATCATGCTCAGGCTTGATCTTTTCATAGCTTCAATTTGACCTGCCTTAATTATGCTCCTATTTATATTAGAGTTGTAAGACCAAAAAAAAAACATGAACACAACACAAATATACAAAATTTTCAAAATGTTGATAACACAAATTATTAGCATATCAAAAGTTATATAAATTAAAATACCTTAAACACGATTAATATCAAATATGACAAGAATACATCAATTGTTTAGGCCTAACAAACATACATATCCAAGACGCAAAATTTCTGCTTCTTTGTCACCACGCCAATGACTCATACCTGAAAATACAAAAATACATTAATACAAAATTTGGCTAAACTTAAAGATTCTTTATCAAAAGTTCGTTTATGCTGAAAAAATGTTTATTACTTTATTGTTTGAGAACAAGTAACAATTGATGTTACTCAAATTCGAATTCAAAAATAGGATACCGGTACGTGTTGAATATAGTTATGTCAATATATATATATAAAGAGAGTAACCACATATCCATGTCCTAATGTGTGTCCAAAAAAAAGTGCCAAATATATATATTTCAAGGAAAATGAAGAGTCGGGTCAGAATAACATAAGAACCTATGCTATGTATTCAACAAGAGTATAGTCAGATTTTTATAAAATTTTTCATGTATTTGAAGGATCTTTGGAGGTCATATACTTATCGGTCTCATCCCCATATTATTGTGTTGAAGAAAGGTGTTTGAATACAGATAGTTCAAAATAAATGAAAAGTAGGAACAACATAAGTTAGACGAAGAACCATACCTACCTATTGGCAACTTGAGATAACCATCATGCCGACTTGAATGCAATTTTGTATTAGGAAACTGATAATTACCTATTAAACATGTGAAACGAATATCAAAAGACAAAAATGAGTGAAATATTCAAGATGGTGCTAGCTAAAACATTAAAAAAAATTTACTCTCCTAATTTTCCGACTCAAATTTAGTGTGGGACTTTGATATATGACTAATATAGGTATGGTCAAATTTGTCTAACTTTTTTCATATATTTGGAGGACCTATGGAGATCATATCCCCATACCCATGTTTCGGACACAAGTGTTAGACATGGTGGAAGAGTTGAAGTAACATACTTTACAACCCTGTACTTATTCCCGAAATGCAACCTCTGTACCTATATATATGTATGGCAGAGATCCATTTATATCAAAGCTAAGTTTGACATACCTGCATACATTTTTATACAAGTTATATTTTAACAAAGCAAATATCATCTTTTGTAATATAACTGTACTCAGCGTGCATAAACTTTCAAATCAATTCTACTTCTACGTTATATCCATTGAGAACATTTTCTTCTAATATACATTTTAACGGTTGAAAGCTTTATATTGAACTAGTAGTGCTAGATATTTTTAGTTTACTCAAAACTTGGTCATAAATCATAACATAGGATTATTGTTGCACGACAAGTTAGGCTATATATATATATATATATATATATATATATAGAATGATGAAAAATACCATATGAATCTTCTAACGTTCGTATGAATGCTAGCTGAAACAAAGCTCCTGCAATTTTCCAATACCATAACAATTTCATATATAAGGAATAACAGCAAATCTAAGCAGAAAAACAATTGAAAATTCAAAAACATCGGTTCAATGCTAAAAAGAATCTCATTGTCAGAATTGAAATCTCACTCTTCAACCATGACATACAAGTGATAATTATGAGAAAATTTTCATAAATTCACTCATTCCGAAACAAAAATACGGCCAAATTATTTGAAGCTAATCGATTAAAATTCAAAAACCAGAGAAGAAAAACAAAACAAAAAACCCCATTTCTTATCTCAGCCTAATGCATCATCAATCTGTGGAGCTAAACCTCTGTTTTCTCATTGTTTTAAAATTATAGAAATGGTGGGGAAATCAGAATAACATTGATTCAAGAGAAAAGAAGAGCATTGGTTTTTGATGTTGAAAGATTGAGAGATAATGAAATTCTAAAAAAGACATACCGATAATCATTCCGATAGTGACAAATGTTAATAATCCGAGAAGGATCTTCATAGCAGGAGCCATCGCCTACGGAAGTTGGTATGTTCAAACAAAAACTTAGTCCGACTTTGAACTGCGTGTTTGCCTCTGCTTTCTTTTAAAGCGAAATGAAGAGAAACTGACAATCCGCCTTCAATGCCCACTAGATTTTCATGCTCGTTTTCTTCGGTTTCAATTGTACCTTGCAATATATATATATTATGGTGTTAAATATATATTTGGCTAAACTACGAGTCTAGTACCTAAACTATCACTTTTGATATATTTTAATACCTAAACTTTCAATTTTTCAAAATCATACCTAAAGTTTAGTTTTTGTTTCATTTTAATACCAACCGTTAAAAACTTAATGGTAAAGCTGTCGTGGCATGTTGTGATAATCTTTTCATATTTTTAAACTTCCACGTCAATAATCAAATAATAGTTTTTACTATTTTTATTCAACCAATAGGGTGATGACACTAGACTTGGCAAATTTGACACGAACCTGATTACCTGAACCGATTTACTCGAACTGAGACCCAAAATAGACCCGAACATGATGATTCAAATTTAACCTGAAACCCAAATCGAACCGAAATTGACCTGAATTTTAATCACACCAAAAGTAAACTGAACTGAAAGTAACCTAAATCTAATCGAAACCGACCCGAATTTTATCTAAACAAAAAGTAATCCGAACTGAAAGCAACCAAATAAAAAATAATCTAAACCAAAATTAACTCGAATTTAATTTACTCAAACCTGATTTGAACCGAATATTGACCTGATTTTAACCCAATAATTGAGTTAAAGTGTATAAAAATACTAAAATAACTCATTGAATTGATTTTTAATTTATTTAAATCAAATTATGAATTGTTAATGAGTTAATTGCAACATATGTCCCCCAATCTATGACCTTCATTTCAAATTAGTCCCTAAACTTTGAAATATTTTAATTTCATCCTTAAACTTTGACTATTATTCTAAATTAGTCCTTAAACTTTTGAACATGTAATTTTCATCCCCAAGCTATAATCTTAATCCTAAATTCATCCCCAAACTTTTTGAATATTTTATTCTTATCCTAAATTATCTGTATATACTAATCATATCTCTTGTTAATAAAATCATTAGGCAAGTTACATTATTATATGTTTGAAAAAAATAAATTTTAGGTTAAACTATGGTTGAAATGGATTACATAGTTGGATGAATTTAGGGATGAAATTGAAATATCTAAAGTTTAGAGACCAATTTAGAATGAGATTCATAGTAGTGGGATAAAATTTGAATATTTAAAAGTTTAAAGACTAATTTGAAATGAGAGTTATAGTTTAAGGACATATAATATAATTAACTCATTGTTAATTTAATATTTTACTTTGGTAACTACTAAAATAACTCTCTAGAACTATTAAATTAATTTACAAATTATTTTAATTCCTTTGTATATGAAAAAATACAGTTATTTAAATTTAATATGAAAATAACTTATTTTTATAATACATAAATAACTTATTTTTACAATATAAATATATCTCTTTTTATTTATAATTTAAAATTAAAATATTATTGATTATTAGAGGTGACAAACAGTTCATTCGGATCAGGTTTGGGTCCGGTTATTTCGGATCGTATTATTTCGTATCTAGATTATATTCAATTTAATTTCGTTCAGGTCAGATCAGTTTTGGTTCGGATTAAGTTTGGGTGTATAGTAAATTGGGTCGATTTGGGTATTGGATCGGATTCATTTTTGGGTCGGTTAGTTTTCAATTCGGGTCAATATTGGATCCCTTGATGTTTGGGTCGAGTTAATATCAGATTCGATTGATTTTTGGATCATGTCAATATCAGATCGATTGATTTTGGATTTGGTCAATGTCAGATCGATTCATTTTTGGTTAGGGTCAATTCGGGTTGAATCGGATATGAGTCTAATTAAGTATATATAAAATTATTAATATATTCTTGTAAAAATATCTATTTATTTGTCAATCTTATCATTTAGGCTTAATTTCAACTTTCAATCGTTCACTATTTTAATTAAACCATCATTTAGAGATGATAATTTAACCCAAACTCGATCCTATAACACGTGCTAGATTTTGTAACTTGAATTTTATATTTATTTGATTCGAAAAGTTTATAGTGAAAACTATTTGGTAAAAAATAAAATTTGCTATTATAAATTTCATTCTCAATCAAAATTTCCAATCATATGTTAAATTATAAATTTAATATTTTATGAAATTTTAAAAATAATACCTAAGTAAATTTTTAATATTTGTATTATAATTAAAATTTTAACTTTTTTTCATTAATTTATTATTAAAAATAATTTTGATCGTTTGAATTAAAGTGAATTCTCTTTATTTGAGATTTGTATTTCATGTTAATTTGTGTTCGTAAAAAAGTGAAATTTCTTTTCTTTTAAAGTTAATTATAATATATCATCTAAGTGATGATAATTAAATTTAATCATACAAAATAAAATTTTGAGTAGTAACTTGACTTTATAATACTTCATTTCAAATAATTTCTAATTTTTTTAGAAATTATCAAATCAATTATGGAGATATTTTTTTAAAAAGAGAATAATAATAATAAACTATTAAATTATTATCAAAGATGGCGGTTAACTAGTAATATAATTCAAAAAGAGAATAAAACGTGCATCATTTTACTATTCATCATATTGTTAATGAATAACAATAAATTATTCGGTCACGTTTACCCATTTATCGGGTTAAAAATAGGGTTAATGTTTGGTTCGAATTGGATTTGGTTAAACTAAATTCAGATTGCTTTCGGTTTAGGTTGCTTTCAATTTGGGTTATTTTTTGTTCGGATTGCTTTCGGTTCGATTTAAATTTAGTTCGGTTTACTTTAGGTTCAGATTGTTTTTGATTCGGGTTATTTTTTATTCAGATCAAATTGGATATGGGTCCATATTGGTTCAACTAAAAATTGGATCGGTTTTGGTTAGGGTCAGGTATGGTTAGGGTTTCAGATCAAGTTTGTTCATCATGTTCATGTCTATATTGGATATCGAGTAGGGTAAATCGGTTCGAGTAATCGGGGTTCAGGTCAAGTTTACCAGGTCTATCGACGATATAATGATATAATACATTTATAAATATATTTAGAATAATATTTATTCGAACATAAATATTATCTTATTATTAATTTTAAATATAATAAAAATATTATATTTATAATTAAATGTTAATATCTAATTTAAAATTTTGATAGATAACAAAATCTATAATTAAAATTTTATTTTTTAATCAAATAAATATTACCATAAACTTTTCAGTCCGGATCAATAAAAAAATATCACAAACTCTAGCGCATCTTATAGGTCGAGTTTGAGTTAAATTATAATTCCTAAATGATAATTGAACTTGAATGAAATTGAACACAAATGATAAGATTAAAAAAAATATGTTTTTTACAAAAAAAATATATATATCAATAATTTTATATATTATTTATTTGATTCATATAGAACTTAACCTGAATTGACCCAAAGATCCAAAGTTGACCCTAATCGAAAATGATTGATCGGATATTGACCCGCTCTGAAAATCAATCGATCTGATATGACCCAATCCGACTTATTATATACCCAAAATCCAAAATGACCCGAACCGAGTGACCCATTTGCCACCTCTAGATGACACAAATTTAATTTTTAAAATAGTTTAATACTGATGTTTTAGAACATATATTTAATTATTTTTATTCCAAAATAAAATTAAAATAATTTAATTTTTAATTAAGTAATTTGGTTTATAATGAAAAATGTTTTATATTTTAAATAATTTAATAATTTAGTATTTAATTAAACAATTATATAAATTAAATATAAAATTGATAATATACGACCAATTTCATTAACTTAATAGTTGGACACTAATTTTTTTGGGAGAAGTCCTAAATTTGAGACGTAAATTTAATTAAAATTTCTTGTTTTCGGGTGGTAATGGACTATAACTAAATATAGGGTAAAGTATATAAATAGTTCCCAAACTTTTAGGCCATTTGCATTTTGGTCACCCAACTTTTGAAACTTGCAATACAATCATCGAACTTTTAGTTCGTTTTCAATAATGTCTATGTTGTTACCTCCCGTTAGTTTGTACTGATGTGACACTTAACTCTCGTTAAATCCCATTATTCTTCTTTTTCTTCTTCCTCATCCTCCTCCAAGCGCTGACTTATCTCATCACTCATCATGTTCTTCCAGTTCCCAACTGCACCTCCAAGCAACAATGGCTCTCCGTTCATATTCCTCCAACTAAATAAACTCTAGCTGGTGAGGAAGATAGTGAAGTTGGAGAAACAAGTTGAAAGGTTTATTAGCGGACTGATACAGACTCACTTGTTAGCCGATGTGCACCACTTGAGGCCTGAAATGATGGAACGATTCGATCGGTTGGAGCAACGAACCAATGCAATGAAGGTTGATCCATGAATGGAAGTCAGAGAGGATTCTAATTTGGGAATTTTTTTGTGGAATTAGTTTGAAATTGGGGGGAAATAAGTTGAAAAATATGTTGATTAAAAGAGATGATTTAAATGTTGTTGGAATTTGGGGTATTGGAGGATCAGAGAAGATGACTTTGGCAAACAAAATTTGTAAAGATAATCAAGTTCGAAGTAAGTGATTCAAAATATTCTTTATTTTCTCTTTTAATGGTCGATTTTGAAGGAAAAAATTAACAGCTTCCATTTTTCTTTTATATGTACTGTAACCATGAAAATATATTGAGATTTCCTCTGTTGAATCCTTTAACATCAATAAGGAATAATTCAAAACAAACCCAAAATCAAAAGTTCATGGCTTTTGATCTCAAACCCAGTTTTAATTTCCACATCTTCCTCATCCTTTCTATACAACCTCTCATCTACTTCCTTTCTATACAACCTCTCATCTTCTTGAGTCGAAGGTCAAATTGTTGGGACAGTCGGTGCACCCCATGACTCAGCGAAAGCAAATACAACAGTCTCACCAGCGATTCATGTACAATGAAACTGAAATCGAGAGGAAGTGATATGATTACTTACATTAAGTTCCTCGAAAAACAGCAATACGGTAGCGCAGACACGAACAATTCAAATTGTAGCCTTCACGATAAACGTCTCGGCCTCTACTT